AATCACAAAAAGAAACTCCCATGCTCATAAGCAGAACTCTGAATTTGTATCAATCCATSCTTAAGAAAATAGCTTTTCCCCAGGAACCACCAGCCAATTACAATTCCTTACTTGTGTATCCGTAAGAAAAAATAGTTGGGATCTTCTTAGCCAATAGTATTTTTCTGAACTTATAATTTCAGGTTCATCTCTTGGAACAAAGGCAGCAAGCAGGATCTTTTCTTTACAAAGGTTTCTCTGGATGTAGATTGGCCGTGGCTCATTTGGTTTAAACACAAACACTGCAAAACAAAGAATATCTTCTTTTTGAAAAAGGACATTCTTACCCTYCTGGCCAGCTGTCAAAGCCCTGTGTATCACAGCCACTCGGGGCTGGACAGGATTGCCTCCAAGCACTATTTTGCAGGAATATAACTGGATAATTTTATTGCATAATATGAGGTACCTTTCACAGTACTCCAGTCCAGAGAATATACTTGGAAATTAACATTTCTGTAGGAAGAGTTCTCTCAATTTAAAGTCAGAGCTCTAAAAACATAACTGCACAGTTCTCAATTTACAGGAGAGGGTCAAGAACATTTGAGACTCTCACCCAGAGAGCATGGTTAATCCTGAGCTACATCCTGTACCAGAAACTAACTGCTGGAAGAGAACATAACATGCTTTGACTGTTGTCAKACATGGCTCAGTTTCCACAGATGCAAGCACACACTCATGTCCATCTTGTAGCTTTCATGGTCTGAATTCTAAGAAAACCTTTTCTAGAAATTGTGCTTCTCCAGTTTTAAATTCTGCTGATCATGACTTGTCAAAAAAGGCTTTGTACTTACAGCTGGACTCTTTGGAGAGCCATGAGACCGCAGCAATATGTTCAGAAAGGGGATCAGGTTGCAGAACTACAACGTTGAGGTGAGCACTCCACTCCACTGGAAAGCAAGCACAGCAAGAGCCAGAGGTGAAAAGGAGCCAGTCAGTTCTACCCCACTACTTGGCCAAACAAAGGTCAAACAAACAAAACACAGGGCCTCAGCTGCTGAAACAGGCAGCTTCACTCACTCCCTGGTGAATAAAAACACACAAATGCTACCAACTTCTACACAAGTGTAAGAAATACTACCTATTACTGGKTTATCATCCATCTAACTTAGGATTTATTCTGCACACGCACACCAAGCACATGTACATGGGACAGGGTACTATCCTGATTAAGTATGAGAATCATCCCATTTTTACAGGGCATTATATAGTGTATCAATCTTGAATCACACTAGAATTATTAATTTAATTTCAAGTATTAAATTACTCTGGCACACATTCAAGCTGATCTTACATGCACAAGTGAGCAGGTTCCAGCAACACAGAAAGCCATAGTCAGTGGCACCAATAAGGTACTTGGAACATGTTTGTCTCCCAAAGCAGATGTTCCTACAGAAGTAAAAAAATCAAAACAAGTTAGTGACCTTCAGAGTTCATCCTTGCTTCTCTGGGCAGCAAGGATTCACAAATCACAAAATAACATTAAGATTCAGTTCTGATACCTAAAACAGGACATTACTTTTTGCATTCAGCTCCAATGGCAAGAGACTTCYCACACAAACATGAGATGGGACTGGAAGATTTAAAAGTATGTGTAAATATGTAAGGATTACATGTTTCTACAGCATTCCAAAAGGATGGAGGGATTTCAAGATCTTAAATAAATTACAAACCCRTATATATGAGAGTTCACATTGGGATTGAAAAACAACTTCCATATTTAGAGAAGCCGTACTATTGTTTAAAAACCAGAAAGAGAGGAATAGTTAAAAAAAAGTTACTATAGGCTGCTCCAATTGAATTAAGTGTGTGATTTGTTTTCACTTATTTTAATTTCTCAGTTTCAACCTTAAGACTTCTAATCATAAAAGATTTTCAAAAAAAGCTAATGACAGTATATTCAAGCATAGCCCTTTGTATATTCAAGCACAGCCCTTTGAAGTTATGCAACTAATACAGTMATTTAATACCTTCCTACAGTAATTGATTTCCTTTTGATATAGCAAATAGTAAAGGCTATTAGAGGAGGCAGCTGGCCTGGGAAAACTTGCCACTGCACCAAGCTGGTGGCTCATGTACCTCCTGCAATGTTCCTGCAGGAGGAACATTAACCAGTTTCATTAACMCCACTTCCCAATTTCTAATTTTAGAGGATCAGTATAAAACAGACTTCATCACACAGAAGAAAAACTTGCAAACATACACACAAAAGGTAGAAGGGAGAAATCTCTATGTGCTGCTATGATTCTTTGTGTTAAGAGTCTTTACAACATTGTGACCATGCAATGGTGATGTCTTTTATCATGACAGCACACAATGGAATATTGCTGGGATGCAGCTGGCAAGGCTGCCAGAAAAACAGGAGCTTTCCAACAGAGAGGATCAAGGTATGTATTTCTTAATACAGATAAGGTCAATATGCCTATGTAGTTTATTGATGTAATTTCTATTTGTATGTATGCATACGTGAATAAAGAACCAACTAATTGTATTTATACTTTTCCRATACTTTGATTCATCCCTACATTAATGGGGAAAAAGAGAAGGGCTATCAACACTACTGTGTGCCCCATGATACAGATTTAAATATGCAAGGTACAGGATATATAAACAAGTAAGAAGGAACTGCAACGCTTCAGCTTATTTTTAACAGGATTTTAAACCAACCACTTAAAAGCCATTTTAGTATYTTCTATATGTGAATTTAAGACTGTTAAATTCAATGTTTATCTGAACAAATAAAAGGTCTTGGACTGCTATGAAAAACATACCTTATATTTCCAGGTGGATGGCAAAAGGTACACTTAAGATCCCAAGTAAGTGAATCCCACACAGTGACAGTTTCTTCAAAGCTAACAGCAAGCAAAGAGCCATCTTCTGAGAAGCAGCARTTTGTAGCTTGGTAGTTGTGGTAGCTGCCTACGAAGTCACAGCTCCAGCTCACACTTTGCTGTGCTGCATTGAATTTACAAGTCAGTTAATTCAAGTCTATACATTAAGAAAGAAGAATTCAAGTATTATTGCTGCAAAATAGGCTCAAGAGCAAGGCAGTTTTCTTCCACAATTTTTGAAGAGTACAGGGAATCTGCCCTGTTCTAGTATGAGAAACAGCTGGGAGTTCATTTGTCCTCAGTTTTGCATTTGAACAGTGAACCCTGAGACTGACATGGTACAATATTCATGTTTAGTTTGCCCACTCTATTAACTATGTTCTCAAATAGGCAGATAAAAAAGATACTCAAATAGATGTGATAATTATTATTCTGAAGCGATGTTCTTTTTAAACTCTAGCAAAAACATCAACATTACTCAAAATCTGAACATAAGGTTGCATTTGAGTACAGCAAAGCTGATGGTTCATTTACAGAAGATTTGAGGATCACCAAGTGACCCACCARCATGCTTCCTTATGTTGGTTCATCAGCCAGTGCATTCTGTTGGGACACCTTTCCCATTGTTGACAATTACCAAAAAATAAACCAGAGCAAAGTGATGTACTTACCACACTGACATACATTTCCCAGTATAAAATAATTCATACAGCATGCTTTTGAAACATATGAGTAGAATGAGGAAAGAAAGGAAGATAAGTTCACCCTATGCTAACATATCCTTTATATAATGACTACAAGTTGATGATTAAAAGACCTGCCTATAGGAAAAAAAAAAAGCCAGAAACAATTGAGAATGTCCAACTGCATGGCACCATCTAGGGGCACAGTGCTGCAACTAACACAGGCCAGAGTGTACTCAGCTGAGGAACTCACTGCTTAACTAGGATTTGCTGCAGAGAAGCTAAAGCATGTCAAGCCTTTCTACCTGAGCATTCCTACTCTGCCCTACTGGGCATACACACCACCGCCAGCACTCATTTGTACTTTCACATGTGCCATGAAACAGAAACCTGTAGTCACTTAAAAAACAAACACCCTGATGAGGCCAGTTGGCAAATACAAATTGTTTTGTAGAAAGAAAAAAATCAGGTTTCATTCCCAACTGAAACTATACTCAAGATCAAAATATCTAGCTACTCATTAAGTTAAGATATAATTTAGGCTCAGAATAATTTATGAAAAAAAGCCAAGCCAAACAGTCTTTCAGTACCTCTTTCAGAGGGGGTTACTATTACCACAGTAAACACAAGCTTTTGTCTTTCTTCTCATCAGTAGTCACTGTTGAGGAGCAAAGAGCTTGGAAAGAGAAAGTCAGTTTGGCAAAGTTTGCCAAATGGAAACCCTAGCAGCTCAAAAGTACTTCTGAACATGTTCTCACATGCCATGGAAAGACAAACACATTACCAAACTGCAAGCAGTTCAGCAGRACCACTACCACAGCTATTTGGGAACATGACATGACAACACATCCAAGTGGCAGGAAAATTCCAGTTCACTTAASTATGCCTGACACTGTAATAACATTTAAGTAAATTAATAGGTGGGAAATMATTTGTATTTCACATCTAACAGCATACAGAACAATCAATACACATAGATGGTTGTTTGAAAGAAGTTATCRCATGCCTTTCAAGAGATGAAATTTGGTTACTCCAAATATCTCACAAGTGGATCCTAAATATTTGGACATTCTATCATGTCCAAATATCTAATGGAAAGGAAGAATGTTCAAAAAACGGACTCTCAAGTGATGGAGCTCTAGAATGGCAAAAGTACTATTATTTTACACCAAGAATAACACATTTCTGCATCCTGCTCTCTTGAGCAGAAGTCTCAAACAAAAGGCATACCCAGARGAATGACAAAAAACCATTTTCTCAGTATGGACAAATCATTACCACAAACAATTCTTAAAACAATCAGCACATACTGCCATTCCCTTCTGCAGCAGGCTCAGCAAGATCTATGCTATTTCAGAAAGCTCCATATCAATCTGTAATACTCTAGAACTACAACAGAACTCCATCAAAGGATGCTCAGAAGAACACAATACCTCATGCAGCAGCAGAAGCAGATCAATGCACAGGACTGAGCAAATAAAAGTAGGGTCTTAATTTCTACAACASSACTTCAAATATCATTGTAGGTCMTTTCCAGCTCAGGATATTCTTATGGTTCTATGTCACAAGGTGCAAGTAAGATCAAGTTTTGAGTGTGCTTACCTTCTGGATCAGTGTCTTCTACCATCACCCAGACTTTAAACACRCAGTCTCTGCCAGTTGTTACCAGTATCAGAGAATCCTCTTCCAGTTCATTCATGTCACGAAAGCACATGTCTGTGATGTGGTTGTCATGGGGTGAGTTTATTCTGGTATTCAGCTTAAAGCTAKAGGAAAAAACAGAAGCTTGCCATTYTACTTCATATGGAACTYRGGAAAGACTTCAATTTAAGCTGATTGTGGAAGGGGCAGGCAGAAGAGAAATCAMAGAAAGTTCTGTCTAATTAAAGACAGCTAAATGATATTGCATTMATTGATCAGGTTTCTCTAATGGCTTCCACACAGCAGACCAGTACCAAGAAAGGGTCACCACAAGGCAAGCATCTCTCAAAYGCTGAGCCTGAACTCTGAGCAGTCTTTCTAGTACTTAAATCAGTTACATAGTTGATCTGTGCAGCAGCTTTCTTTTGCCTTGTTTCTTCTTTAAAAAATAACAATTTGTAGTCAAATTGTAATTTTTAATAGGAAAATTAGGGAAAGGATATTAACCAGAGACATGTACTAGCTCAAGAGAAAGATCAACAATAAAATTATAATTTTCTGTACCTTCTGGAGAAGCACTAATCAAATTAATCATGAATTACACAGAGGTGGGTAAACTGAACAAGCTACAGAACCATTYTGTCAGGTCCATGATTTTTAATACCAAGGAAATATGTGAATTTACGTCCCATGGTTACAACAGCCTGTCTGATTACTSCAAGTAAAACAGATCCAGAGCAATTATTTCCTATGTGTATTTAGTGCAACTTGGTGTGCTGTGCAGATGTTTGCAGCGTGCACAGTGAACTGCCTAGATCTGGAAAAGCTCTGCCTTCACATGGCAACATCTATGCAGAGATCTGTGTGACTCTGACACCTGGAAAGCCAGCTCTATTATCATCACCTTTGTGTTTCTTCATTGTAGAACCACAGCTTCAGCTGTAACTCGGGGTCAGTTACTTCCTCACTCTCTTCCACSGTGGCCAGCCAGGTGCCCCGTGCGCTGAACGCCACCTTCACCAGGTCTGACTGCTTCAGACCTGCCTGGTGGATGTACTGGCGCTGCACAATGTCCAGCTGCAAGGCAAGGCCACAAGAGGGAAGGGCATTTTAGAATTCCAGTGTAGCTGTAAGAGATACCGCTCATAAAATCATGGAGAGGATGTTCCAAAGGCTCCAGTTAGACCTGACTGGGCCGTGCCATAAAACAGTTCCTGGCATGTGAGGAAAGCATGATTAGGGCATGTGCATTCCACAATGATGCTATCTGCAGTAAAGAATAAAAAAGAATTTGAAGGTATTACATAGAAATTTTTGACATTTAACAGGAGTAGCACACTGTTTTGAAATACGTTTTTCATCTATCAATATCCGTATTTGCTTAAGAAGTTTGAGAACAAAGCCAAGAACATCTCAGCCTGGAACCCAGCCTTGTGGAACAACTGCAACCCTTTTTCATGTTTGCCATATTAAGTCTTCAAATAAATTTGGATGCAGTCTTACTTGACTGAGTAATTCAAGTTTTGGTACAAGCCCATCCAACTTACACTGAACAACTGCTGGTCACTCTGGAGGGAATAGAACTGCAAGTGGCCTGGCTCTCCATTCAGGACCAAAGCTTTGGTTCTAGGATCAACCACTARGCCTGTCTTGACATCCCTACCTGGAAACAAAAATCAGGTGACAAATGACCAAAAGCTGTCAAATGACATCCTTTARGTGGAAGATAAATTTTATTGCACTTACTTTTTATGAGCCCTTGAATACTTCTGGAAAATCTTAGGTTGCTGTTGATTATTGTAATTCCTGAAAGAACAAGCAGACAAAGTCTTGTAGAAGGCACAAATCTTATGATAGGAAACACTGTAACCATCTGTACTGTAAATGTATCTTTTCTCAGTTTAGGACACTAWAGTGAAAAGCCAAGTACAGCAGTCACCAGCAAATTCACAGAACTGACCAAAGAGCAAAATTTCACTTCAAAAAACATTTTTTTTCAGATCACTAGTGAAATTTTATGYAGTTAATTCATCCAAAATCAACAARATAMAGTTCACAGAGATTTGCATTTCCATTGAAGTGAGACATGGCTTGTTTTGGCTTACTGTTGTCTGTGTGCAAGGTGCAGCAGAGCGCGCCATCAGAGGACATGGAGATGTACTCGATAGGAGACCCCAAACGAGGCAGGAAATCCTTCTGACATGAAGATTCATTGTGCCACTGGACTAGAACAGATTCMACTCCACCACTCAGCAACCTGGTTCCTTTTCCAGCAACAAAATACAGTTAAAAAGTTTTGTTTAAAAAAAAAAACTAAAATCAACAGCCTATGTCTTTACAATCAGAGAGATGTGAGTTTCTCAAAAGTTTTTAAACTGACATAAGCAAGCAACACACATAAATATGTTTCTCATTATCTCCTGTTAAACTGTTAGAGAAACTTGGATTGTAGCAGGAACTTGTGTCTACAGTGAAATTTAAACTATGCTTTGGGAGTAGTAGATCCATCACTTTCCTTCCTATTTGTGTTAGCATATGGCTAAATTGTTGTTTTCCTTTGAGAAGTACTTTGCAGTAAGAAATATTTTAAGGAAAGTACCTCAGATCACACAATTCAGATAAAATGCAGTATTTCTGACAGCAGGTTTGACCTTAGACAGGTTTATTTTATTTGAATTCCAGTAAAACTGGCAAGAACTCATCCGTATTACTGATGAAAGAGAGGGGAGGGAGAGTGGAGGTGGGGGAGAAGTGAGAGGAGGGGTTAGATTTTGTTTTACCACAGAAGGCAGATATTTGACATTATGAATGCCCATTAAAAGATATCAAAAAAGATTTCACTTTTATTTCAAGATATCAAAAAAGATTTCACTTTTATTTCAGATCCTTCCTGGACATACTTAAAACTCCAAAAGTTGAACTTATTAGTAAGCTTTCAATTTCTGTTGCTTCTTCCCTCTTAAAAGCCTTGAAATTTGAGAGGGGTTTTTTTTGTTTGATGGAGGTTTAGTTTGGTTTTTTTTATTGCTTTGCTTTGGTTTTTATTTTTTTTCACTCACCCTCCATAGAAAAAGCCAGATCCATGACAATATCATGATGCCAGTGCAGTGTGGAATATGTGTACTCTTTCCTGTGGTGAAAATTCCTCCTGCATGGAGGGGAACAGATCACTTCTTTACTCACAACATCAACAACAGAGCAAACAAAAAGAAATATTGAATTGAATCAATTATATCATCTTGTTCTCTAACTTCTACCCTAGTTTATCCTGTGCTTAAGTGATGGAAGAGAGAAGGAACCACTCTACAGGTTTGCAGAATCCTCCTGGTCACACCTCACACCTTGGACGTAGTGAGCAACTCAGTCCTGGAAGCAACTTAGCCAGGTAATGTTTTGAATCATGCAGCTCCACTGGTGTGCTCTCTCCTTAGGACTCTACCTGCCCATAAAGAGTTATTCAGCTTCCCCTGCATTCTCTTTTACACCTAAATTTAGACCCATGGAGCATAACATACATTTTTTTTTTCCACTTGACATTACACTCACTGTCAGCACTACAGGTTCATTTCTCATTCTGATTTCTGAAAATGGCAATGCTAAGGACAAAGCAGATTTTGCTTTGCTCATGTTTGACTTAATTCCTACAGTCTGGGGAGTTTATGGGATACACAGTTAACCAAAATGYACATACCAGAGGCGAATCTTTCCATCAGCATGGCCAGTTGCAATGCAATCCTCTGTGGGATGGCACACAACGCAACTGAAATTATTGTCTCCTCCTTTTGTCTTCAATGTACTTAAAGAAAACCTTAGAGAGATAAGAAAGTAACTTTAATTATACAATTTGGGTTGGTTTCTTACAACAAATCTTCAAAAGTATCCRCTAGTGCACACAAAAAATAATCCTGGTTAACAAACATCTCCAAGCTGTTATGGTTACACACACTCTCCAAAAATAGTGACTGACTTATTTTTCCCTTGATTTCTTTGATACTTTGCTCCTCTTTCTCCCTCTCCTTCTTTCTTTTTGTCCTCCTTTCCTCCTGCTGCCTGGGCCCTGCCCAAACGATGTCATTTGTTTCAGTTCAGCATCAACCTAAGTATTTTACTGGAAAAAAACACATTTCTGAGCTGCAGAAGCAAGGTACCACTGCCACTGATCTACTCAGTCTTCACTTCTACAGAAAACTTTTTACACCGTGACTACATCCCCTCCAGCAGAAAACCAAATATGAGATCATGTGTGCATACATCASCAGTTAATAAACATTTAGGATCTATCAAACCTGACATTTTCATTCTCATTCTTACCTGTTCAACAGTTTCCGTTTAAAAAAATAMACTTGGAGGTTAACATCTTTCACCGATACCACATATTCACCCTGGTAAAGACATTAAGGACATGCAGATTATATCTTCACACAAGAAAAAATAAAGCACATTTCACTACAAAGCACTTAACATCGGAGACAACTGATGTTACGTATTTATACTGATGTTAAGTAAATACTTTCCTGTTACAAGTATCAAATGGTTTTTGTTTTTTGTAATATAAAACACAGCGTAACTCTTACAGTGATTAACATACTTCCAATTTTGTTTCACTACTGCTGTGCTTGTATAAAGGCATGAACTGCATAGAGTCCATCTGAGAGGAAAAGAACCCAACCAACCAACATGACAGAGAGGAAAAAAGCCCAAAGGTGAACGTACTTCTCTTCCAAATGCAATGTGCTTCATTGATGCACCCACGCCATCCAGAACCACTGACAGCTCCTTGGCTTCCAGATCTTGGCCTGCTCCTTTTGCCAGCTTAACTGAGACCAGTTGGAATGTATCTGACCAAAGAAAAATTCTGTTTGAAACCAACGTAGTACTGAAGAATGAGGACCAGACAGTGGGTATCAGTGCCAGAGTAAGCAGAAACCAAGAGAAAAATGCATATCCCTTGCTTTTGCTCTGAAGTAGCAATATATTATAGTACAGAGTAAGGTCAAGCCGTGTTTATTTCACACAAAATCCCATAAAAAGACATCTAGGCATGCTGTTGAATAAGACAAGTCTATCTATGTTAATACTGCACAAGCTGGAACAATAATCTCAAGTACTCATGCCCAATTTGAGTAGTATAACCTGTACCTTGGTGAGCAATGCTCAAAGATTTACTGCATCTATGAGATCCCATCCATGCAGTACATGCTTCAAATGCAAAGATAAGCCCTCTAGACAACTGGAATGATAAATGTCCCAGAATGCAAACAAAGAGGTACAAAATGCAGGATAACAGACATCTGCCATGGGAGTTAAGACTTATTTTCACAATTTACATATTAAACGCTGTTCTTGCAGCACACCTCTCACTGATGTGACAGTAGCACAGACAGAGAATGTCTCAGATGATATGGATGATGCTACTGTACCTCGTTCACCCTTCTTTGGAATGACAACAAACACCGAGTCCTCAGCACTGGCAGGTGCATACAGTGCCAGAAGTTTGGATCCTACAGTGAAAGTCTGAAGAAAAAAAGARAAGGAAGTTAACAGTTACTACAATTGTGTGTATGTTTCTAAAGTAAGGAAATCATAGCTTAAARAAACCTCCATGGATTAATTAAAATTCTCCATTATAAGACAAAAYATCTTTATTCTACCAAGGACTAATGTTAAAACAGTACTAATAAAATATGAGACATAAGGTTTACTGAAACTTCTGAAGATATCTTACCCCTAATATAAAGCAGAAGGCCCACTCAGAGGGAAGTACTGAGCAGAAAATGTGAGCAAGAGGATAGGAAGCAGCCCACATTTTCAAGCCATTGTATCAATTCCTATTGGCATATCCCAAACTGCAGCACAGTCCCCAAAACTACACTGGACTCCAAACTGCAGCAAGTAGCAAAGTCAATATGTCAATTCATCTCCCACCTTTTTCCCAAAAGAATCTGCATCATCATTATCACCACCACACATTCTGTAACTACCATAACGAGATGGGTTTTAGGTTGTGTTAGCAGTAGAGCAACCCATTTGTGCCCCTTTTTGACATGCTCTCAACAGGAATAACTCAACATACTTTAATGGGAATCCCATCCATGAAGTCCCACAGCTTAATGGTGCCATCAAGAGAGGAAGAATAGAGCTGAAGAAAAAAAAACAAACAGATATATAAGTCACAGCAACAAATCACAGATTTTACATAAAATCACAACTGTGATTCCAGGTAACTGAATCATAAAAAGCACAGGAYACAGACCAGCTCTGTGCTGCCTTCAAATGAAGTGCAAGGGAAGTACCACACTATTACTCTAGTTTGAAATGTACATTGTCACAAAGTGTGAATGCATAGATGCCCATCACGTGAACATCTACATTAAATTTCACATAGCTAATAGATAGATCAGTTCCTCCTGGTAAATAACTCTTGTTTATATACAGACACCAAAAAAACTTACGCAAATTGAGAACAGGGAAGGCAGGCTAGGGGCAGAGGGAGCCACTGGGCAAATTGAAGGGGTTAGGTCAAATCTGCATCAGTACCAGCAGATACAGAGGGGCAAACCACCACCTACATTGTTTCTGATTTTTTTTCACATGCTTCTTTTACCCTCTCAACCAAAGAATCGGGTATTTTGCCGATATTGCCATTTTGTTGTCATTCCGTTCAAGGAGTGTAATCCACATGACATTTAACATTCATGAAATGTTAGTAGGAAACAGACACAAGATCTATCATTCTTGTCAGATTTCAGCCAAACATCAGCTCAACGATGCCCTAATCACTCCTCCCCAAACTCGGGCCAGCTCAGGGACAGCCCCCGCGGAGCCACATAAGGGTGAGGGACATCCCCAGGCAGCCTCTGCCCCACTAACCTGCATGTGGTTGTGCGGGTTGAGCTGGATGCCGGTCACCAGGTCGGCGTGGCCGCCCATGAGCCGCAGGGTCTCCTCGGTGCTCACGCTGTACACCTTCACGAAGTCCCCCGAGGCGCACAGCAGGTACCTGAGGGAGAAAAACGCTCTTAGCCCGGCGCAAGGGGCCCGGGCGCCCCGCGGGAGCCGCAGGCCGCGGGGACACCGGCGGGCAGAGCCCCGCTCGGAGCTCAGGAGTCCCCCCCGAGCGCGGCAGCCCCGGCCCCCCGCCCCACTTGCTTGGAGTCGGCGGAGAACACGGCCCTGGCGCCGCGCAGGGCGCTGCCCCCGCACCGCACCACGCGGAGCGCGCCCGGCGACACCATCTTGTCCCGCCGCCACCCGCGCGCCGGCCCCGCCCCGCCCCGCCCCGCCCGGCGCTGATTGGCTCCGCCGGCCGCGCGTGCTGCGGGCGGGCTGCGCGCGCGCCCCCTCACGGAGACACCCCGGCGGTGCAGGTGGGGAACGGCCCCCGAGCCGCCTCAGCGCCCCGAGCACGGCACCCGGGGCCGCGTCCACACTGTCCTTAAACACCTCCAGGGACGGTAACTGCCACCCCTCTGGGCAGCCCTTTCCAGTCACACTTCCTGTGAAGAAATTATTAATGTCCAATCTGAACCTCTGCTGGCTCTGTCCTGTCGTCGGTTGCCTGGGAGCAGAGCACACCCCTACCTGTCAGGTAGTTTGTAGAGGGCGCTTCAATAGTGCCCCTGCCGAGCGCCTCTTAGAGCCGCGGGGATTGTGGGGACCTGCGGGGGTGCTGCCCCTACCCGGGGGATGCTCTCTGTGCCCCCTGCCACGCTCAGTCCTTCGTTTGAAAGCTCCCCTCTCCCCGGCCAGGATGAAAGGCAGCGGGAGCTCTGAGCAGGGCTCTGTGCCGGCTCCTGAGGGGCTGTGCCGCTGTCACCCCCCGAGCACTCCGGTCCCTCAGAGCGTGGTACAGGCTGCCAGGGGACTGTAACAGAGAGTYTTCTCGGTGGCTCTGGAATTRCTCCTGTTTGAGGAGAAAAATGCGKTGAGTCCCTTGTTTAAGAAAGGCTGGATAGAGGAAACTTATGGGTAAACTTTCGGATTGTYCGCCGGCTTGGACGAGCTGCGGGTTTGCTGAGTTACTGAGCACATCGTGTTCTCGTATTTGGAGGAAAACCGCTGTCAGAAGCAATGTGAATGTCTGGAATACGCCGTGATTTATGGTGTCTGGGCCCTTCTGTTGCTTTGGAAGAGCAATTGCGGTTCTTGCACAGCTGTGTAGTTTTGGCGACTGTTTACACTATTGAAGGTATCTCTGGTATGCTTGTAATTGATTTTTTAAACAGTCCCCCTTCACAGACAGTAACAGGGACAGGTGCGCTCCGGGGCGGGGGTAGTTGTGATCATCCTGCTGTAAGCCAAGTTATGTCCTTTTCTTCCCTGCTGACACAATTCTAGTTTCGAGGTTAATTGAGGATTGTTCAGAGAGAGTAGCACACACTGTGGGTTACCTTGGTCATAGGGAACTGGGGATGGGTATGAGAGAGCATAATGTGCCCAGAAACCCGCCTGCCAATCTCAGATCCTTTGACAATTAAACAGTGTACGCACTCACTTCTGAGAGCAAAATTTACAAGTTCTGCCTAGTTGTGGTTGTGTTTTACAGCTCTCTCATTCTGGTGAATATTTTAGAACCCAAAGGCAGATGCAATGCAGTGTTCCTTCTGTATGGCGCAGTACATTGTGTCTAAGTTCTGAGCCACAGGCACTGAGTAAAGCCAGAGTTCTGTCACAGAGTAAAAAGCAAGGTGTCTAGGAAAAGATAGTCCCTTTATTCCACATTATTATGTGAATGAAATGCTTTGGACCAGGCCTATGCTAAATATAGGGAAGTCTAGTTGAAACGCAGAAACTTGGCCTATTCAGCTTTCTCCTAGATGAGAGAAACTAGATCTTCCTAGATGAAGGGAAAACCTTGTGCATCTTAATGCATATGTTTTTGTTATAGTGTTGCAATGCACATTTATTTTTATAATTTTAGGAAATTTGTCATAAGCTTTGAAGCTGATAAACCATCAAGACTATTCCCAAGTATCCTAGGGCAGGAGCACAAACAGGAATACTACACAGCACTGTTCTCCCACAGCACAGCCTCTGCTCTCAGCACTGCTGAACTTCCAGCAGTACAATTAATTTGATTTTCCTCCCCATACTTTGCAGAAAACCCAGTATCACAGCCACAATCAATGTGATTTCACTATCAAAAGACCACTTGCTAGTTACTATATACAGGGCTTTTTCAACTGTAGATGSTCTGTGTAATTGTTCCAAGTAATGCTGCCCAAAGTTATTAGTAGTGCTACTCTAAATGTGGAACATTCCTGTGAATTAGATTGGGTCACTGTGGCGGAGAGTAAAATACTTTTGTATCCTAAGTTAAAATGGTTGCCATAAATTTATAAGGAAATAACAACAATGATAAATAATTAATTATATATAATAATATAGAATATATTACATATAATTATTAATAATAAACAGACACAACGTGGGGTTTTTTTTTTTTAAAGAGTTTTCTTCTTGTTTTTTTAAAATGCACTCAGCCTTTTAGGTCGTTGCTGTAAACTGTATTTTGAGTGTGGTTTGGTGCACAAGTGTATAAAGAACCAAAACTTACCTCTACCAGTTTTTGGCTTTTATGGTAATAGGAGATATTGAAAGTATCTGGTTTGTGATATTCAAGTGWGTAAGCAGCAAAACTAATCTAACCTGTTGTTTGTTTTCATTTATTTCAAGTGGGGCTTTGTATGTTTTTTTCCTAATTTATTTGTTTAAATTTA